TTTACCATGATGCTTTGCCAGTATTATGGTTGTAAGAGCATTATGGGTGATGTAGTCCACAACATCTGGAGTGCCGAAGGTGACCTGTGCTGATGAAGAGCTATAACAGAATTCCGGACATTCGGTGAGGACAGGTCATTAAGAATACATATCTAGAAAGACTACCACCTGCTGTCTCCGGAAGTCTCTATAAATTAAAGCTGACTGTATACTTAATCAGGATCCATTATTAGGAGAAAGGTAGAATAAAAATCTAAACCCAGCTGTCAAGTAAAATTTATAGCGAAATACCTCCAAACCCGTGGCAGACAACAAGATGGTCCTTGTTACATGAAAACCACCGCCTGAATATCAGCATATGACAGTTTCCAAACCACACAATGTACAAAAAGCTCTACATACGTAAAGATAGCGATGTACCAGTCTGTTAATCCTAAATACCATCGCAAGTCCTCTGAAACCAGACAATGTTTAATTATTTCTCTGCTGTGCACATTTCAATGTCAGGGCCTCAGATCCAGCTCTAGAGTAATTGCAAATTAACAAGAGGTTCATTCATTCCATAACATTTCAACACTGATTTCCTTTTTAGTAAAGGCTGAAAAATGAGGCCTGGTAATATCTCTGATATATTCAGATGACCTCACATAAAGATCTTTTTTTAAACTTTTTTTTTATTAATATTGTACTCAGACCTGCGTTCAGGCTGACATGAAATTGGGAGCGTGTTGACAGCCCCTAGACTAGCTCTGCAAGGTATGTGGTGGCCCGTTTTTTAAATCCAAATAAAACCGCACCATTACCAAGGCAACCAGCCCTCAATATCCACTTAAAGGTCACAAACTAACAGTAGTCTAAGGGCTTTCTACAATAATAAAAAGCTTTTCTACATTTTTAAGTGTATAAAAAAACTGAAGTTGGCATCCCTGGTTTTCATGCAGCAGGCTACTGGTAGTTTTTAGAATTTGGGTCAATTTAAGAGGCCTCTGCATGCATTTAAGATCTTTTGAATGGATTTCATTTTTATTTTCGTAAGTGCAAAAAGAAGAGTATTGTATGTCCGAGAAGAGCTTTTTGTGATCTCTTTCCCTTGGTCTGAGTGTACGTGACGATAGGAGTGGCTCTGGGTATAATGCAGATTCTTTGATGAAACTGAGATTCAAATAGTAGGAGACAAGTGTTTGAATCTAGCAAATCTTGCAAATTGTATATTCAGAACTAATATCCAGAAACTCTAATCTGACACTTTTGTATTACAGTATTTCCTTTAACACAGCTCTGTTATGATATTTTAATAGAATGTTTAAAATCTGATTCATCGTTGCTTTGAATTTTTTTTGTGTGTCCTTTTTAACCCCTTAAGGACACATGACATGTGTGACATGTCATGATTCCCTTTTATTCCAGAAGTTTGGTCCTTAAGGGGTTAGTTATAATTCTCGAAATCTAAGTTGTTGTTTTTTACGTTGTATCTTCAGTTTGTAAAGCTATCTCTTCCTGGTTGCACTTTGAGAATGTTAAAGGGACATATTAATATTGATTTATATCTCTTTTGTTCTCATAGCAGCCTCAGTACAAAATCTGCATCCTGAATGACATCCACATGGATACTGGCCAACCATGACCCCAATCTTTCCTATACATTAGAGCAGGGGTGCCCAAAAACTACAGCTTCCATGATGCTTTGCTTTTTTACAACATCTGGGGATCTACTTTTTAGGCACCCTGCAATAAATAGGAAGAAATGTTAGAAGAGTGGAGGTACAGGTAATCTCATTCTGCTATAGAAAAGACTAGAAGTCGTCTCCCATCAGTCTGGTCCAGCTATAACCACAGGAAGACAGTACTGTGGTCATTGACTTGATTCTACAACTTGACGCTAGAGAGGCACAGACAAATATGTAACAATAATATAATTTAAGAAATAAATATGTATAAATAAACCCAACATCTTTGGGAATCGATGGTATAATTAACCTGAATGTATTAATAATAAATGATAAAGATTAATAAATGATACTGATATTATCAACCTTGGAAAGATGAAAGGTCCAGTCGTCGCTACCAGAATTCAAATCAATTGGATTAACCTGTAGCGCTGCAGTGATAGTCTAGTAGAGAAACACCATTCACCAATAAAGATCTGACCTGTGCTCTTTCCATGTTAATGTATGGTTCCCTTGCAGATGGTTCCACATTGTAACATTACTTCTTAAAACTTTCAGATGGAACCAAGATACGCCAGAAAGTATAGTTTGACAACACTGTGCCATGACATAGTGACTTTAGTACAGAGCTCTGTGCCGTGAGATGGTGACTTTAATACACAGCTCTGGGCCGTGACATGGTGACTTTAATACACAGCTCTGGGCCGTGACATGGTGACCTTAGTACAGAGCTCTGTGCCATGACATAGTGACGTTAGTAGACAGCTCTGTGCCGTGACATGGTGACTTTAATACACAGCTCTGGGCCATGACATGGTGACCTTAGTACAGAGCTCTGTGCCATGACATAGTGACCTTAGTACAGAGCTCTGTGCCGTAACATGGTGACCTTAGAACAGAGCTCTGTGCCATGACATAGTGACCTTAGTACAGAGCTCTGTGCCATGACATAGTGACCTTAGTACATAGCTCTGTGCCATGACATAGTGACCTTAGTAGAGAGCTCTGGGCCATGACATGGTGACCGTAGTACAGAGCTCTGTGCCATGACATGGTGACCTTAATACACACTCTGTGCCGTGACATGGTGACCTTAGTACAGAGTTCTGTGACGTGACATGGTGACCTTAGTACAGAGTTCTGTGCTGTGACATGGTGACCTTAGTACAGAGCTCTGTGCCATTACATGGTGACTTTAATACACAGCTCTGGGCCGTAAAATGGTGACCTTAGTACAGAGCTCTGTGCCGTGACATGGTGACCTTAATACACAGCTCTGTGCCATGACATGGTGACCGTAGTACAGAGCTCTGTGCCGTGACATGGTGACCTTAGTAAAGAGTTCTGTGCCGTGACATGGTGACCTTAGTACAGAGCTCTGTGCCATGACATGGTGACCTTAGTACAGAGCTCTGTGCCGTGACATGGTGACCTTAGTACAGAGTTCTGTGCTGTGACATGGTGACCTTAGTACCGAGCTCTGTGCCGTGACATGGTGACCTTAGTACACAGCTCTATGCCGTGACATGGTGACTTTAATACACAGCTCTGGGCCGTAACATGGTGACCTTAGTACAGAGCTCTGTGCCATGACATGGTGACTTTAATACACAGCTTTGGGCCGTGACATGGTGACCTTAGTACAGAGCTCTGTGACATGACTGTAGCATAGTTATTAGAGTTACCGGATAGAACAGATAAAACAGTCAGAGTACAAGCCAAGGTCAAGGGCAGCACAAGGATCAATGACAAACAAGCTAAAAAAGTCAGGAGCAGAGAGATCAAAGTAATCTGAGAACAAGCCAAAGTCAAAACCAGAACACAGACAACTGCAAAGAATGTGCTATTGGGTCAGCAAGAACCACAACAATGCAACTAAGTCTAGGCAGGAGGTGTATGTATAGCACAAGGTAAAACATGATTGGAAAACCACCCCCTGTGTGCCAGGAGGTACGTGAGAGGCAGAACGTTTGTTTCACCTCACCAGTGAAGTCAGAAGGATGCGACAATTATATGGAGTTGTGTCAAAAGAGACTCGTGAGTTATCACAGCTAGGATGAGTCGCATCATTAATGACATGGCTCTGTATAAACACTGGAGTCTACTTCCATAAACACGCAAGAATGACGCAACTGTAAAACACCTGACACCAGGATCATGCAAGAAGACTTATACCATTCCGGGGTTCCATTTACAGCATAATGTGTCACAAATGATGACAGAATGTTGTAACCAGGAATCTATACATTTCTGTCCCTATGTATGATCATTGTCAACCAAGTCTCCAAAAAACGCAGTGCTCCAAGATCACAATATGTTTGTTTTTTTCCCATCTAAAGATCAGAGGTGACTTTGATTTCCTGCATTAAGTAGACAGGTATTCAGTGTAAGTGATTGACAAGAGGTAAAAGTGGACACACAAAATCTTTTGGTCTTTTGTAGATTGCAGATTCAGCCAGTTATTGGAGATTTGCTAAGATAGCAGGAAAGTTTACCCAACTTTTCATGTGTTTGACAAAAGGATTTTTGGCATTAAATCTCCTTCTTCAGTCTTCCATTAGCCCTTTCTCCTTTTAGTGCTGGTAACTGAGATATTCCCATTGTAAAGATTTAAATCACATAGCTTTTAAATTATCGGACCCTTCAACTTATTAACATTATTAATAGCCCATTTCTAATAAGTTAAAGGAACACTATAGTCACCTAAACAACTTTAGCTTAATGAAGCAGTTTTAGTGTATAAATCATGCCTCTCAGGTTTTACTGCTTAACCCCTTAAGGACTGGACTGTTTTTGCGATGTTGTACATTTGCGACCAGGCATATTTTTACACTTTTGTGGTGTTTGTGTTTAGCTGTAATTTTCCACTCTCTCATTTACTGTTCCCATACAAATTATATATTGTTTTTTTCAGGACAAAAAGGGGCTTTCTTTACATACCATTATTTATATAATCTCATGTATTTTAATTTTAAAAAAATACAAAAATCTGATGAAAAATTGAAAAAATACATGTTTTTTGACTTTTACTTGAAAAATCTTTTACTCATCTACAAAAGCGAATGAAAAAAACTGCTAAATAGATTTAAAATTTTGTCCTGAGTTTAAAAATACCCAGTGTTTACGTGCTTTTTTGCTTTTTTTTGCATGTTATAGGGCTATAGGTACAAGTAGGATATTGCGGTTTCAAAACATACATTTTTAAAATTTATCAATAGTGACATTGTAACACTATTATCTGTCATAAATTTCTGAATAACACCCCACATGTACATATTTTTTTTAAAGTAGACAACCCAGGGTATTCAATATGGGGTATGTCCGGTCTTTTTTAGTAGCCACTTAGTCGAAAACACTGGCCAAAGTAAGCATTCATATTTGTTTGTGTGTGAAAAAAGTAAAAAAACTAAATTGAATGCTAATTTTAGCCAGTGTTTGTGACCAAGTGGTTACTAAAAAAGACTGGACATACCCCATTTGCAATACCTTGGGTTGTCTTCTTTTGCAAATGGTATGCCATCATGGGGGTAATTCTCATTACTGGGCTACCATACGCTCTCAAAGGCAACGTAACCAACCTGGCCATTTTCAATGTAAAATATTTGACCCATATATTTGACCTTGTAACTTTCAAAAATGCTATAAAACCTGTACATGGGGGGTACTGTTTTACTCAGGAGACATCGCTGAACACAAATATTAGTGTTTAAAAACTGGAAAACGTATCACAACAATTATATCATCAGTAAAAGTGCTGTTTGTGTGTGAAAAATGCAAAAAAAGTAACTTTCACTGACAATATCATCGCTGTGACATGTTTTACTGTTTTGAATCACTAATATTTGTGTTCAGCGAAGTCTCCCGAGTAAAACAGTACCCCCCATGTACAGGTTTTAGGGTGTCGTAGAACGTTACAGGGTAAAATACAGTGCTAACAAATTAAATTCTCTGGAATTTCGGCCTGGGTTGGCAGGCAGGTCCCTCAAATTGCAATCAATAAAATTACTGAATTATGTAAAAATATTACATAAATACGCACGTAGAATTTAAATATATATGCATATTTATATATTTGAAGTCTACGTGTATATTTATATAATTATTTATTTAATTTTGTATATGGACGTATGTATATTTCTTATTATTTTTATTTATTTTTATATACATAGATATATATACAAATTCATTCTAAGTGTATTTTGATATAAATATATATTTATTAATTTTAAAATACAGTTAGAATAAAATTTCATATAGCTATATAATTTTTTTTTAATTTTTTATTATTATTTAAAAAAATTTTTATTTAATTTAAATTACTTATTATTTATATTTTATAATAATATATATATACAATATATATAGTTATTATATATATTATATATATGTGTGTAATTTAATTATAAGTGTATTTTTATATTAATATAAGTACATATTAATATAAAAATACACTTAGTATGGCATTATATATATATGATATATAGACATATATTATATAGATATAATATATATCTATATATCATATATACACATATATAATTATTTATTTATTTTTTATTAACATTAACTTTATTTATTTTTTTGATTTTACACATGCAGGGAGACTGCCTGTCAGCACAGACAGTCCCCCTGCAGGCAGGCACATGGACACCTATTGTGACCATGTGATCGCTGTGTTAAGCGATCACATGGCCCCAGGGGTCCTAATCTGCCGTGGGGAGACTGCCTGGGCTGCAGGCAGTCTCCCCACAACCGGAGCCACGCTGATCGCCGCCGGGGGAACGACGGCGATCAGGTAAGTAGCTCTGACCGTTAGGACGGTTCAGGACCGTCATCGGTCGGCAATGCAAAAATGCCGATGACGGTCCTGAACCGTCCTCGGTCCTTAAGGGGTTAATTCACTGTCATTTAGGAGTTAAATCACTTTGTTTCTGTTTATGCAGCCCTAGCCACACCTCCCCTGGCTATGATTGACAGAGCCTGCATGAAAAAAAAACAACTGTTTTTTTCACTTTCAACCAGATGTAATTTACCTTAAATAATTGTATCTCAATCTCTAAATTGAACTTTAATCACATACAGGGGGCTCTTGCAGGGTCTAGCAAGCTATTAACATATCAGGTGATAATAAAAATCTAAATTAAACAGAACTTGCAATAAAGAAAGGATAAACTTTAGATGACTCTTTATAGGAAGTGTTTAGGAAGGCTGTGGAAGTCACATGCAGGGAGGTGTGTCTAGGGTTCATAAACAAAGTGATTTAACTCCTAAATGGCAGTGAATTGAGTAGTGAGGCTGCAGGGGCATGTTCTATACATCAAAACTGCTTCATTAAGCTAAAGTTATTTTAGTGACTATAGTGTCCATTTAATGTTTTGAATCATTCGGTATTGAACACAAAGGTATTATTTACACCAAACTGTAATGAATCGATTACTGAATTGAAAAACAATGGACAGCTACTGAGGACATTTACAGAGAAATGAATCACAACGGGTGCTTATTGCTTTTAATATTCAAAGAAAATAAAACACATAGGCCTAGCTTTAATAATATTGTTGGATAATTTCCCAAATTATTTAATATTTTTGGATAATCTTTTAAAATGATTTAGTATTATGAAAAGTCTTTTGATTTTGTAATATTTAAATAGTTTTTCATATGCTGATGTATTTGTTTTATGTATGATATTTTTTTTGATATTTTAATATTTTGAAAAAAAATATATATTTTAAAACTTTATCCAAAAATATTAAATAATTTGTAAAACTTAGCCAACAATATTAAATCAAGGTCAGTGTTGTTTTTTTTCTTCTAAAAAAACAATAACTAA